AGAGGTGTGAGCACGAGGGATTTACAATTCTCATGGGCTAGGATGGGGTTGGGGACTCAGGGAGCAGGTAGACTGGACCCAGGCCTTCTGCTGCCCCATCACAGAGGCCTTCAGGGTGTGGGGACACGCCTGTGCCCTCCTCAAGTCTCAGAGGGCCAGGTCTCCATGCAGAGCTAGCTGCTGCCTCCTCTGGGCTCCCTCACCGGGTTTGGGTCACGTCCTAGGGTGCGTCCCAGCATGTTTCTGGGAACACAGGAGACTTGGCGGGAGGGCTTTGCTGATGGCCTTTGGATGCAGAGCCTTGTCTTGGAGCCCACCTCTTGGTAGTTTTGCTTAGCTGGGACACTGAGGGAGCTGATTCGTGACTGTGGATTTCTACCAGGAGCTGTGGGCCCCTAGACCACAGGCTGCCCATGTGGCCCCACAGACTCTTGGCATGAGGGAATGCCTGCTGCACCCCTGCCTTGTGCCCAGAGAGGACTCCTCAGCTCAGAGCTCTAACCTAGCAGAACAGAGGCATTTTAGGCAACAGGACAGAGAGGAGGTTGTCTCAGCAGAGCTCCTGCTAAATGTAGGAGAGAAGGCCCCACACCTTGAGGCAGTGAAAAGGGATTTGATCCCTGGACCCACCATTAATACTCACTTATTGACCAACCACCAGGATACACTGTCATATGTAGCTGGTGGGGGGAGGGGAGTCTTGCCGGCTGTGACAGAAGGAAGCATAGAGTCTGTGGAGCCCAGAGGGACCCTTGACCTAGTCAGGGGGGGCTGGCAAGCATTTCTGGAAGAGAGGTTGAGCTGGGTCAGTGAAGGCAGAAGAGGGCATATTCCAGGGTAGAGGAGCTCCAGTAACCCCCACTAGGAAGCCAGGCTCTTGCAGCTGTGGGGAGAATACCCCCCAACCACAAAACAGACTCCAGGCGGCATGTCCATGAAACTGGATGGAAACCTGACCCGCACTGATGGGATGGGGGTGCACGGTTCTGGCGGGATGGAAGGAATGACCGAGCTTGTGCAGGTGGCCTGTCCAGGCTGAGTGCTGCTTTCTTGTGGCCTGGGAAGTGTCAGGATAAAAAATGGGAGGGAGCCTTTGCTTTCCACTGGGACCCTAGAGGGAGAATTTTAGATCTCTGAAAGCCCTGGGCAAACTATTCTCAAAAGGAACGAGGCCCAGGCCGGTCCTAAATTAGCCGAGCCAGCCCAGAGCCTGTGTCTTACCCCTCAACCTCACCCATCCCAGGGACCTCACTGCTCTATCCCTGCCAGGTGAGAAGGCATTCTCTGGGCTCAGAAAGTTGTGGCCCTGGACCAGCACCAGTCCTGGTCCCTCGCAACTCCCCCTCACACCCTGAGAACCCGCTCACAGGCCTGAGGAGCCTCACAGCAAGAAGCTGAGTCAGAAGAGTTCACAGGAGGGTGCCTCCTGGGTGTGGGCGGCGGGAGTAGGTGCGAGGTCCCACCTGGCCCTCGTGTCCTTTCTGCCTTCCCATTCTGTGAACAATTACTGAGCTCATCTGCAGAAATCTCCCGGGAGTACTCCTGCAAGTAGCCGGAGGGAGGGTCTCCTCCCTGTCCCACCACCAGACCAGACTTCCGCAGAAGTAGAGAGGCCGCAAGACCCAGGACTCAGAAGGCCTAATGGGTACTCAGGACTTAGAGCCGGGCGGGTGGAATTCAAACCCAAGCTCTGCCACGTTCCCAGGCAAGTTATTTCACTTCTCCGAACTTCAATTTAGTCCTCTCGTCTGAAATACGGGGTCACAAATTCCAAGCTCAAAAGGCTGTGAGGTTTGGGTGACGTCTGTCAAGTTCCCAGTAAATAACTGTCCCTTCCCTCCCCTGCCCTCCACTGAATAAATCAAATCGAGGGAGGCGGGGAGAAATAGCCCCAAATGTTGGGGTAGGGGCTCCTGTAGGGCAGTGCTGGGATGGGGGAGGTGCCGAAAGGGGAGAGTGCTGGAGGCAGGCCAAGACTGTCCACCTCCCGCCTGCAAGACCAGACCCAGCAGTAGCCAAAGGTCTGAGCGCCAAGGGCTAAGCCCCGCCCCCGCCGCAAGCCCCGCCTCCGCCACGGGTCGCTCTCCAGGGTGCTGCGCCCCGCGTGCCACGTTCGCAGGCGAGGGCCCGCTGCCCCACAGGGTCAGCAGACACGGCTTTTTGCAAGCTGGACAGGCGTGGGGTGGGAGGAGGCAGGATGCTGCTGGGAGGAAGGGTGGCTGACCGAAGCGAAGGGAGGATGCAGTTCTGGAATCCGGCCTCCGCGCTGCCCCCATAGCCTTGCGAGGACTGCAGGCTCCGCAGGCTCAATCAGCGAGGAGGGCGGCTTCTTCTCAGCGCCCGCCCCCGCCCCCTCCTGCGCGGCTGTTTCCCTCCCACCTTCCAGACGGCCCCTCCTCTGTCTCCCTCGCCGGCTCATCGTACCTGCGTCCCCTCAACATGGATGCCCTGTCTCTCCTCATTCTCCACCCCACTCCCACAGAAAATGGAGCCTCTCCCCCACATACCAACAACTCTGGGTGTCCCCTGCTGCCCAGCCCTCTCTCTGGAACTCCAGCTGTCAGTCGAGGCTGCCTCCTGGACCTCTCCTCTGGGAACATCCCATAGGACCCTCACACTTAAATACTGAACACCCAGTACATCTTATGTCTCTATCAAAGGCATCAGCAAACTTCTAATCTCCAAGGTGGAAACTTCAAAGTCGCTTTCCCTCTTCCCTCTTCTATGCTTTCTGTATCTAGTCCTGCTTCCAAGGACAGATTCTCTCACATCCGTCCACTCCTAACGCATGCCCCTGCTTT